CCGTGAAGTCGGTAATTGGCAAATATGACGTCGGGTCCAGCGTGCCAATGGAGAACGCCTTCTTACGAATTGTCGAACAGTAAACTCTTTATTATTAATACTTACCTTCGGAAGAAATATCTAGGAACTCTCCGGACAACCAATATTCCAATCAGACTAACTATATATTAGTTGCCGCTTGAAAAGCCTGTACTTAAAGTCTGTCGTTCGGGGCGCTGAAACTGGTAAACTCACCATGGATTAGATCATATTATGGTTCGAGCCAAGATTCGTATAAAACTGAAAAGTCGTAAGAAACAATGTATCTAAGATCTTTTAATTGTCTTAAATTAAAAGGTCCGGGAGCGATAAGCGCATTTGAAATCGTATTATTGGAACAAATCAGTGAAATGAACATCAATGATATCTCTGGAAAGGCGAATGATTACTGGTCCCGACTAAAGATATGCCTTCAAAACCATTTCCACACAAGGATATACTAATAGAAAGTACGCTACTTGGGAGTTAGGTCAAATTATCTAAAAAAAGCTGCCAATGTCGGAATATCAGGAGATCCTGACTATCAGGTGCTTCAAAGAATCACAACGGCAACAGCATGTCGTAACAGAAATCGCTATAAGAGCGATATGGTCTTGAAAATGAAGATGGCGACTTGGATAGGTGATAATAGGAAACTGTTTCGCTTTCACTGTAAAGAAGAGGTCGATGAAATGATATGGGATATTAATGGAGTACCTATTAAAGCTGTTAAGAATCTCCTCAGAACATGGAAAGGAAAGGATCTCTTGAGGTCAAAATTAATCACGATGCACCGTATGTTGTCCCGAATATAACTGTTTCGCACAAGCTAAATGTTTGCAACTGCAAAATGCCAGTAAAAGAAGAAAGAAATTATCACTGTAATTCATAAACTTAAGACCAATAAAACCGCCAGAAAAGATGGTCCTTGGGAAGAAGTAGAACTCTTCAAATGTCGTCCATCATCGTTCACCTTCAATAAACGTATTCTCTGGTATGCCAAATGGAAATAGTAATAAGCATAATAATAATAATAAAAAGGAAATAACTAGAATATTGGAATAAAGCAATTCCTCCAATTCCTAAGAAAGGCGACAGGACGTACTGCGACAATTACTGAGGAATCAGCCTACTGGACATCTTCGGAAAAATTTTTGCTTCTTTTCTTCTAAGTATGCTAAATAAGATGGCAATACGAAATAGCAGAATGCGCCCTATCCAAGCTGGATTCAGACCAGGACGCGGTCTTACCAAATATTTACATATCTAATAAGGGTCCGCTTTAAATAGCAGCAATCTACCGTCACTTATTTTATCGATTTTGTAGCTGCCTTGATTCAATTGATAGAGCAGCGCTCTGAAAAATAATGCAATATGACGTTGTCCCAAAGATCATTCAGCTCATGAAGGCATTTTATCAGCATACCTTGGCTCAGGTCTGGTCTGTTATATGGAAAATTCTTTCGAAATAAAAACTAGTGTCCGTCAAGGCTGCGTCCTTTCCCCCACAATATTCAACTATACGATAGACTGGATAATGGGCATCGCTTGTCGGCACTCAAGAAATGTTCCAATCAGTATAGCATAAACCTTGAACACACAGATGATGTAGTCCTTTTGGTTGACAGTTATAAGGAAATGCAAAAAATGTTAAATAATCTGTCAACAACTGCAGTGAGAATTGAAAATCAATGTAAATAAAACGAAAATGTTTTCTTGTATAAAGATGCTGATAAAATGCTTATTTTTATCAATTTATTACCGGTTAAGAAGGAGCCTGGCTTTAAATATCTTGAGACCACTCTAATTTCAAATGGCCAGAAGATGATCGTAACCTGGACAGCTAAGTTTTCCTGGTTCATATAGAACCGTCTCGAAATTACCATAAAGATGAAAATCTTTTCTAAGGGTATATTTTACAGGTCCGTCGAGTGATGATGATGCTAACAGGAGGAGGGACAGTCAAAACCTGGAATGATAAATCAAGAAAGATTTTGAACGAATGGGGGACCAGGGAGCTTAAACGATGGAAAAGGGAATGGTTTCTATCAATACTAGCAATGGCTTTGTCGAGTACCTTCGTTATGTCTTACCCTTGTAGCCAGCGGGGCCAGCTTAACCAGTAATGATGAGAGCTGTTATAAGAAGAAGAAGAAGAATGATCATGGAAGTCGAGTGGCGATAAACCACTTGGAGACATTCTTTCATTGTGATACTACACAGAAATTCTAACCACCGCATCTAATGCTATAATTCTGTAATAATAACAATAATAATAATAAATAATAATAATAGTAATAACGATAAAATAATAATAATAAATAATAATAATATTAATAATAATATTAAAGTAAATTAAGGGTGTATGACATTTTTTTCATTCGCACCATTAAATTAATGCAACAAATATCCGAATGATGTTGCCAGGTTGTGGGTCGTCATCTTTAGTTATTTTTAAAAAGGGATTAAGAAATGCCATCAATGATATTATTTAAAAGTATAACACTGTGAAGGAAATTTGAAACCTCGATCATTTTATTATCCATACATTCACTATCAATAATACATTCACTTTGATTTGAATTATTTTATAATTCTCTTTTATTGCATTATTTTTCTTTACATTATTAGTTTTTGATTATTTTTATCATATATATCACTCATTAATTTTCTTTCATTGACCTTATTTTGTTTTTATAAATTAAAATGCAAAATAGAGGATTGCTTGTAGTTTTTTTATGGCCAAAAAATTATTAATCGCCATAAATGTTGAAATATCGAATTACAACGTTTTGACCGCATTGTTATTAAATTTATTCAGTTTCTCATCCAACGATTTTAATGATTTTATTTTATATAATTCAGCGCACTGTTTATAATCTTTTAAAATCACTTCTGATTTGAAAAATAATTTGAAAAATTTCGTAAAAATCTCGTTATTTTCAAGAATGATCCTGAATTACATCGCGAATCTGTTGCTCATAAGTGCGTAAGGCTCCCCATAGTTCCACAGATTTACTCGAATTGCGTTGAATTCTGCGATAGGAATATGATTAATTTGTAAAGATTTAGAAATATTGGCTTGATTTCTAGAAAATGGAGATAAAAAAAATAAATGCTATGATCTCGGAAAGAAAAATTATCGAGAACATTTGCACATATGCACGAGGAATTTCATGCGTTAATTAAAATTTTATGTGAGATAACCACCGGATGACCGCAAGTGAGAAATCTTTAAAACTTCAGGAAACTTAAGAAATATGCCAGGCGAATGGATGATAATTATAATATATATATAGGCAGTAGTTCTGCTTGTAAAGCCCTCAAATTTCTAACAGAACTGCAAGAAAGAGAGGAAAAGAGATTTAAATATGCAAATTTTGCAATTACAGTGTTGTATCAAAATGAGTTTCAAAATGGGGTACCATGATATTTAGTCTTGAAATTTTTCTATAATTTTATTTCTTTCGCTCACAAAGAAGATATTCGGTCCATATGTTATTCCGACTTTTCTTTGTTAAATATTGTTCTCCATTTTTCAGGTTTTCCATTTGTCACTGTTAAGACTTTCTATAGGGTTTACAAATGTTTGTAAATTTTAGATAAATTTGCGATTCGCATATTATTATTATTAAATTAAATAAAATGTCGTGATAAGCCCGAATATACCGTGGATAATACTGGCACACCACCGTCTGCATCGTATTGAATTCAGCATCATGCGCAGGACAATTTGCAGTTCCACAACCAATATAAGTTTTTTCCATGCTCGCCAGCTTAAAAAAAATTTTTCTTTATTTAGCCATTACATGGATTAAATTTCCACAAACATAATCTATGCTCATTCTCAATATAATATATTTACCTGGGCAAAGAAGTCGCTTTCTTCTAAAAATTTATGATGAGTAAAATCTTCAAAATCCGAGATATAATTATTCGAAGATCCGCTTTTCCACCACGCTTCAGCTGCTTCTAATATAAAAGACTCTGAAACATTACTTTATTTCGCTCAGCGAGAGCAGAATTCAACTAAAAAAAATATCAAGGGTACCATTAAACAATTTTTTTCCCCAAATTTTTCGACTGTCATCTATCCAAGTAATTTTTCGGCTTTCGCCAAGGAAAGAAGGCTCTTTCGAATGAACGAAGTCGCATTGTTTCGCCCGTTGCATTGCAGATAATTCCAAGAAGCAGTTCCATTCCTTAATTGTTATAAAAAAATTTGCTGTCATTTAAAATTTAAAGTTTGTATAGCAACGATAACCTACAATCCTTGAAGATATTGGAAAGTTTTCTAGAAAGTTTGAACAAGAATTTTTATTAAAATTGGTTATATGCAAATCTAAGGAATAAATCAATAAATGTGTTAAAGAATTAACAAATCCAATGTCGTCAGTTTGGTTAGAAATTATTCCACCAGCTTCCGAGATGGCATATTTAATTAGTTTTCGGAACCAATTGTATCGGTTGACGATTTTATCTTTAGTATTAGTCGAAATTACAGAATCCGAACATTCTGAAAATTAAAATTTTCTATAATAAGGTGAACAATGATATAAATTTAATATTTCCAGAATTTCAAACTTGAAATTGAATTTCTTAAGAAAGTTTCTTAGCATTAAAAAGAATACATTTATTTTGAACTCACTTATTCGAAAATTTATGTAATAAATATTACTTTCAAAAAATCTTTGGAACCAGCGATGCTTAAAACGTTTGAATAAATGAACAATTTATTAGATGAATTAAGTTAAAAGTTTTAGTGTAAAAGGTGGAATGCTTTGGGTGACACCAGTAAATGGCAATGCGAAAGTTGTTGTAGTTAGTTCTGTCGTTGATTCTGTTAATTCTGTTGATGAAAAAGTTGTGGAAGTTTTCGGTGCAATCTTTGATTCTCGGTGAGCAAAACCAACGGTTAGTGGTGATCTAAATTCAAAGAGAATAAATTTAATTGTGGTAATCTTCTCTTCTCTCAACATTACTGGTTAGGCTGGCTCCAACTGCTACAAGGATAAGACGTTTCCAAGTAGCACGGTCTGATGATATCGTCGATAGTAAAGGAAGCCATTCCTTTTTCCATCGTCTAAGTCCATATATTGCTGGTCCATCTACGTTCAAAATCTTTTCTCACCGTATCAGTGGCTCACCTCGCTTTTGACGCCAACCTTCACACGGTTTAGCAAATAACGAAATATACATCAACTCTTGTGGTGGACGACGAAGAATGTGCCCTAAGCAGCTAAAGCGGTTCTCTCTGATAACATTATTTATGCAAGTCGTGTTTGCACGAAGATGGATGCGATCATGTGAGATTTTTTATCCATTCGGCGAACCCGTAAATTGTACTTTAGGAAGGAGTGGTCAAAGGCAAATAACACCTCTCAATACTGATATTCGTCAATATATAGTTATGAGCAGTCGGTTCGTCCAACTGCTCTACTAAGATATAGGTGGAGCATTTATATGTTTCATATATTTTCCAATATTACAAATGAATGTGAAAAGTTAAAAATAGAAATTCCGAGTTGTTATATAATGAATCCGTGAATATTGGACCGATATAATTATAAATAAAAAATTTTCCCAATGATTTTTTTGTAAAATTCTATTTAATATTGTTTGTTGACAAAATTTAAGAATTTTACCGAAGCTTGTAAAAACACGCAATGAGTTTTGCAGCTGTGCCATTATTATAATCGCTTATAGGACAAAATTTTTGGGAACAACCAACTTCAGCCGCATATTTCCATTCTTTCTAAAGTATTTTCTTTTTTTCGCATTATTGTAGTTTTCCATCCATCGTTAAGGATTAAATTAATTTTTACAATTTACAAATTAAGTTAACTTACAACACTTAGTCCAATGTTTTCATCGTATTTAGCTGTATTTATTCCAGGATGGATAACTTCGTTGTGTACTGCAAGAAGCAAAATTTTTTTGGGTCTGCACACACTACTGGAATTCCTACTTAATAAGTAGTTCTTCCAAAATTTTGAAATAGTATTAGATAGAAAAGGAACAGAAAACCTCAATAAAATAGATATAATCGCTTTGATAATTTAACCTTACGGTTGAAATAATGAGAATAAACATTTCGGACGAGTGTTCCTCTGGTTCTTGGAACTTTTGGAATGTGACATTTTTTAATGTGTCGAGCAGCTATCTTTTCCAGTTTGCAGCTCCATTTCTAAATTTAGAATATTTTATTTTTTATTTGTGAATCTATATTTTATGAATTCCATCCGAAATATTTCTTTCTTAAAGCTTATAAATTCTAAGCAATCGTATGCCATTCTGCAAAATATAAAAATATAAATTATAGAAAATGCATATAATGCTAAGGCCACTGCGTTTTAAATCCTCGTACGAGTTTGCAGCTCCATTTCTAAATTTAGAATATTTCATTTTTTATTTGTGAATCTATATTTTATGAATTCAGTACCATCAAAGTTTGCAGCTCCATTTCTAAATTTAGAATATTTCATTTTTTATTTGTGAATCTATATTTTATGAATTCAGTACCAAAATGTATGTAAATTAAAAAATGTAAATTATAGAAAATGCATATAATGCTAAGGCCACTGCGTTTTAAATCCTCGTACGAGTTTGCAGCAAAACAGATTAGCGCTATTTTGTTTTCAATTCGGAACACCATTGCCTAAGTCCCATTTTAACATTTTCCTACTAATACTTTTACTGCGGTTTGACTGTTTGAAATATTCTAAACCGTCAAACACGAAGGGCGAAACTATTCACATATTGCTTCAGCGATATCTAATAAAAATAACCATTAAATTATCTTCACTAATATCTGCATTCATGGATAATTGGCGTTTGCGCTCTTGGGCGAACAGTATGCCACGTTCTCGAGTGCCCTCATTCCTGGTATTGCAGTTGGGAACAGGTAATGGACCTTTAGAACAAATTATTATCAATTAATGATTAATGATATTAGTCTTTCTTAATGATATCAGTTTATTGTCTAGAATAATGTATTGATAACTGTAATTCTTTCAGAAAGATACACAATTTTCTGATCTAAAGGAAATGAAAAGGATAAGAAAAAAACATAAAACATGAATTATACAAGAAGAATTAATTCGAATATAATTTCAGTATATACCAACAATAAATAAGATATGCAAATTATTTTGATCTATAAGAAAATAAATAATGACTAACGTTCTTCTCTTGAGATAAATATCATTATTGTTCCTGAAATTGTGAATGAAATTTACTAGCAACTTTGGCAGTTTACTCCTAAAGCCATAAAAATCGCAAAATTAGCCTTACCCATGTAAAGAAGATAAATGACAGCTGCGGATACAAATACGACACCCATTGAACAAAATCACTGATAATGCTGATATCAGTAATAATACTGATCAACATATCTCTTTTCAAAAATTTTATCGTTATAATCGGATTATTGGAATATTCCTTTTTTTAATTTTTCAATTTCACGGCAAACAGAATATTTTTCGATTTTTTGGCTTTTTTATTATATTAAAATAAAGTTTGCAATCAACTTGTAATCACATCAATTTTCATATTTCCAAATGACTCTATGGTGAAAGAGTCAGGTCCCTTTGACGTGATGTTCTCTTCTTTTGAAGCTCATGATATTTCTGATCCGGTGGTACATACGATAAATGCATGATCCGAGTGTAACAATAATTAATAATAATAATGGTAATAATAATAATAATAATAAAATAATAATCATAACAATTAATAATAATAATGATAATAATAATAATAAAAGGCACAAACATGGAATTTTCTTGCGCATCGAGATGAGTACTCAAAATCTGTCAAGGAAGACGGGAATCTATACGCTAACACTTCGTCAGGAGCAAATCAAAAATGGTACCAAAGATCAGGACGGCTGTGGGAGGCCACCTGTGTCACTATTTCGCGGTAAGTGCTGGCTATAGCTTACTTGGAACGTCAGAATGCTTATGGATATTGCAAGGCAAGCAATAACCGTCCACACCCTATCTAAATAACGCGTGTGGCTTATTTGTCAGAGATCCGTCTTCCTCATGTTGGCTCTCGAGCAATTATTAATAACCTAGTTCCGAGTGAAGATACCAGTTATATCACTGTAATTTCTTAGATAATTCGGGGCAAATTGGCGGCTGTGTCATATCTGAAAAGGTCCGCTCTGATTGAATGGAAGCCATTAAATGACTATGTGACCTATGCGCATTTCAAGGGAGTTCTGCAATATTCAAAGATCTGCAATATTTCGGTCAGTGTATATATGCTAAAACTTTATCCGCAAAATGACCACGATAAAGATAAGTTCTATAAGATAAGTTCTTCAACTGTTAACAGTGTCCCTACTGATAGATAACATGGTCATAATCAGGGAAGACTGGAATACGAGCAGAGGTCATGATGCCGTTACCGTGAAGTCGGTAATTGGCAAATATGACGTCGGGTCCAGCGTGCCAACATGGTCATAATCAGGGAAGACTGGAATACGAGCAGAGGTCATGATGCTGTTGCCGTGAAGTCGGTAATTTGCAAATATGACGTCGGGTCCAGCGTGCCAACGGAGAACGCCTTCTTACGAATTGTCGAACAGTAAACTCTTTATTATTAATACTTACCTTCGGAAGAAATATCTAGGAACTCTCCGGACAACCAATATTCCAATCAGACTAACTATATATTAGTTGCCGCTTGAAAAGCCTGTACTTAGTCTGTCGTTCGGAGCGCTGAAACTGGTAAACTCACCATGGATTAGATAATATTATGGTTCGAGCCAAGATTCGTATAAAACTGAAAAGTCGTAAGAAACAATGTATCTAAGATCTTTTAATTGTCTTAAATTAAAAGGTCCGGGAGCGATAAGCGCATTTGAAATCGTATTATTGGAACAAATCAGTGAAATGAACATCAATGATATCTCTGGAAAGGCGAATGATTACTGGTCCCGACTAAAGATATGCCTTCAAAACCATTTCCACACAAGGATATACTAATAGAAAGTACGCTACTTGGGAGTTAGGTCAAACTATCTAAAAAAAGCTGCCAATGTCGGAATATCAGGAGATCCTGACTATCAGGTGCTTCAAAGAATCACAAGGGCAACAGCATGTCGTAACAGAAATCGCTATAAGAGCAATGTGGTCTTGAGAATGAAGTCGGCGGCTTGGATAGG